GTTGAGAACCCATGGATAACACCAAATGCTTTCTTTGCTCCCTTGAGATGCTCAGCTTGCCCTTTACTGCAGCACCTTCAGTTGCTGCTTGTTTGTGGGTCTTTCTGCAATCGGTTTTGTCTTCGGACACTGAAAAGCATACTCTACTGGAGTCAGGTCAGGTCAGGTGGCTGCGACTGTGCCATTTCTTTGCTTTAAGAAACTATTAGGTTGCTTTTGCAGTATGCTTTGGGTCCATTTGCGCTTTGAAGTACCGAAGTGCAGTTTTGCAGCTTTTGTATACAGCACAGCCCTGCACACCATCATCAATAAACAATAATTATATGTACGTCTACCAGAATGTTGCCATCATCATGTCTCTCCTCCTCCATATTTTTCTCTTCAGAACTCTGTAGATCGGTTTTCTGCCAAGGTCTAATCTGACTTTCTTGTTTTTGACTGGTTTGCACCTTATGGTAAAGTAAGTAAAGCTCTTTTCGCAGACTTGGTGCCAGATTTACTAACGCACCAAGTCTGCGAAAAGAGGGTTTTGGCTTAGGAAAAAAAAAAAGTACTGTTGATTGAATTTCAACGCGCAAAGTATAAGCAGGAGAACATTAAGCACACAAATTTGTGACATGCATTTTAGCCTACTGCTAATTGCATCTAAATGAGTATCTGTTTGTAAAATTAATACATTTAATTTCAGGAGGTTTATCTGTGATGGTGGGTGCCTGAGGAATTCATGACGCTGTGATGACGATCACAATGACATAAAGAAGGTTGGCGCTTGTAGTAAAATAAATACTGATACAATATTTAGTTTTTAAGGTCTCAAATTTTTTTTGTAGTTTCAGTAGTTCCTTTTTTAAGATTTAGTTAAATCTAAATAAATAAAATACATTTCTATACAAGTATTCCATATTGTATCAGTAAAGTTAATTAAAACTCCCTCCACTCATGGGTGTGCTTAATCTTACCACCCCACACACAGAGTTAGAGGCGGGTATACTCCAAACGGGTCACCACTCCATCACTGGGGTAACAGAAAGAGGCACCCAACCACACACTCTCACTGATTAAACTTAAAAAACCTCTAAATCACAGGTGTCGAACTCCAGGACTTGAGGTCTTGTATGTTTTAGATGTGTCCTTGGTTTACCAGACGAAGCTGAAAAATTACCGGTAGGATGGTTTACCAGACGAAGCTGAAAAATTACCGGTAGGATGGTTTACCAGACATCGCTGCCGCTAGGATAATTTTTCAGTGATATCTGACAAACCGTTCTGTTAAACCGTCCTTTTATGCACATTTCTGCTGTCACACAATAATTCCAGCATAAATTTAAATCGGGTAAATGTTTGCCACTTATCTTGACCCATCAGAGTATGCCTCTAGCTCCTCTTCATAAAGGTAGAATGGTTTGCCACTGTCTGTAGAAGCAGTCTGCATGCCAAGGTGCTTAAAGTTATACCGCTGTCACCATGGAAGTGACTGGAACACCTGACTATATAAACTTTGACAATGAACTCACTCCATTGGACTTACAGCATATATTTACTGAATATATTTACAGATACATATACAGTGGTCCCTCGGTATAATGCAGTTCACCTTTCGCAGCCTCACTGTTTCACAGATTTTTTTTTTTTTTAATGCAATTTTGAGTGCATTGTGTTCTGCGTCCTGATTAGCTATAGACCACAGGTGTCTAACTCCAGGCCACAGCTGAATCAAGGACACAGATGTGTTGGACACAGATGTGTCCTTGATCCAACACAGCTGATTTAAATGGCTAAATTACCTCCTCAACATGTCTTGAAGTTCTGCAGAAGCCTGGTAATGATCTATTCATTTGATTTAGGTGTGTTGAAACAGGGTGATATCTAAAACCTGCAGGACACCGGCCCTGGAGGCCTGGAGTTCGACACCCCTGCTCTAAATCATCTGACCTGAAAAAATAAATAAATAAAATGGGTGGTATACGCAGCTTTAAGCTGAATGAGCAGGACGCCTCTGAAAGTTAGTCATTAACAGATGGATGTAACAGCCAAACTATCGTTGGACAATGCTGAGTGTCTCCATATTTAACTGTATCCTTTATTTTTCTAGTTTATTTTTCTAGCTTGTCACTTTGAAAATGTAGAAGCTTTTTGAGGCGTTTGATAGATTTAAAGTTACCGTTGCTTCCTGTTGGATATTTCCCTAAATAAGTTCATCTGCCTGTGACTCAGCACCTCATTAGGTTTGTTTTTTCAAATGATGCAACAGCTGCCTTGAAGGAAAGAAACAATTAGGAAAAAGGGGGGGTGGGAATTACTTGCTGGAGGATTTCTCAAGCAGTTACTGAAGCGTGGTAAAGTCCTGCTGATGTGCAGCTTTTAAAAAAAGTTGGGCAGGATATTCGTGGCTGTGCAAATGATCAAAATCTTTGTACTTTCCAATCCATCTGTCAGACTTTCTTGCGACCTTGAATAGAAAGGAAAAACATCTCTTGCGTTTTAGTGCAGCAGTGGAAATGTAAAATATATCTACAGGTTTTCCTTTATGGTTTTTTTTTTTTGTGTTGCATTGTTAGAAGTGAGCGAGAGGCTGATGAATTCTGCTTCCTAATCCTGTTGCACAGAAAATTGGCTGCAGTTCAGCCGGGAGAGCAGCAGTGGCGACTCTCAAGCTGTTTCTCAATGAACAGGAATGGAACTAATCAGCTAAAATAATTATAATTATTTAAATAATTATTTATACAGCCTAAGCAGAGAAGTCCACACTTCCCTCTCCCTGGACACCACTCAACATGTTTTCCTGAGGCTTTCCCAAACCAGCCAAGAGATGTCATCTCTCCAGTGTGCCCTACTGCCCCGGGGCCTCCTGCCTGAAATGCCTAAAACCAAGGAGACCACTCCATGAATTGCCAGATTATCGTCCTGGAGGCCTCTGTGTGTCCTAGTTATCCCAGGAGCTATGTTGTCAGGGATCATTTTTGGGGTCTCCCAAGAGCGAACCAAAAGACTTCTATGAAGAAAATTAAAACGTGGGCCAAGTTAGCTCCCCCAGACTGGGGCTACCCAAGCCCCACTTCTGAGACCTGGAAGGAACATCCATCTTTTATAGAGTCTGTGAGAGGAAATTGCTGCTTGCTTCATGCCTGAAATCAAAATGTGGCGCTAAACTGGCTCACGGTGCTGTGGCATACTCACAAAAAAGTATTTTACTACAATTGAAACCCATAAAAAAAACTAATAATTGAACTAAATGTATTGTTAAAGCTCCTCTTTTTTAAATATAAATAAAATAACAATAAAATATAAGTTTGAGATTTACGAATTGCATTTGCACGCTGTCCTTTTTTGGAATCCGGCTTGTATTAAATAATCTGTCCTGTTCACAACTGCCTTTATTATTATTTACAGTGAGCAACAAAAGTGTTTACAAGTAGTCATAAGAGAATACAGCTCAGAGGTCCAGAGAGAAGCAGCAGCAGTCCAACACTCATACCTTAAAGAAAATGTCCTCCTCCAGATGGCGAATATGGTTGTTTAAAAACAATATACTATGCCACAGATGTCATTACGGCCACTTTAAAGCAGCCAGCCATGCACAGCTGCTGCATCAGCTCTGTAATTATGTATAATCACACTCAAGAACATCCTGTCTGCTGTTAGCATTCCTATATCAAATCCAGACACTGTCACTGAGTAATGGTGTCACTCTCTGTGTCTGTGTGGGTGTCTCATGCAGGGAGAAGACAGAAAGGCAAAAGTATGTGAAAAGCTGTTGAGAAAGTCGTGATGAAACTTTTGGTTTAAATCTATTGGAAAACACACAAAACCTTCAGGACACAATGTGTTTACAGAGTTGGTGATTGTTAGCCATTTATCGATCGATGCCTCGTTTGTTCACAGGAGAAACCGCACCAGTGCACCCAGCAGGGAAATGGCTCCGGGAGTACATATTACACGGGAGAGAAGCAGGAAATCCACTCGGGAGTCAAACAGACTGAAGGTACGTTTATTCATTTTAGAGATTTTGCTTTGTTAACTCTTTTAAAACACATCTGTCGCTCAAAATGATTTAGTGAGAACTGGCGTCCTCATCATTCTCTGCGCTCCCAGATTCTCGCCCTTTCGCCCGTAAAACCATTGTGTCCATTTAGACTGCAAATAACCTAAATGGTTCAGACTTTTAGAATTCTATGAAATACAATTTCTTCCAACTTAAGCATCTTTATTTGTTCTGAATAAAACTCAGGGTGGGGAGCTGTTGCTTTCCTTGCTGCCATATTTGTTTGGGTCAGTAAGTCTCGTTTAAGAGATGAATAAATGTGCTTCATGAATACTTGCGAGTATTTACTTTGATCAGCAGCAGAGTTGCTCAATAAAAAGGGAAGCTTTCTTTATTGCAGTGGACACGGTTCCCTGTTTGTGCCCCACATCTCAAATGAAAAGGATATTTGTACTAAGAATGTTTGAATTTCTGTTTAAATCAACTTATGTCCCTAAAAAGTAAAAATCTTTTTGAGGAAAAATCTTATGCAGGATTCTTCAGACTTAAACAAGCAAAACATGAAGACATTTAACAAATATTAGAAAAAGACAGCACGTGATAAGCAATTTTGCTATACTTGTTATAAATAAATAATACTGGTTAAACATAGTGCAAATAATCTTACTGCTCAGGTCGATTTGAGTGTATTTAATGCGGCAGAAATATGAACCTTTCATTTCTGTGAGCTGGGATAGGCTAGACAATCGTCATGACCACGAATTCAAGAAGTGGTTTTAAAATTAATGAATAACTGTAATATAAGTGGACCTGAAAATGAGTTTCAGCTGCACGCAGCCAGCCAACACATCACCTGAATGTTCCTCATGTTCATGTATGTTTTATTAAAGCAGTAAAAGGGCACGCCCCCGCGTAAAGTCATGTTTCTGACTATACTCAGGTCAACGATCAGTGTTACATGCTGAACCAGCTGCTGATACTGAAAAACAAACAAAAACAAAAAGAACAGAAGAAGTCATTTTAAGTGAGAAAACGTTTTATTGACAGACGCTACAGGACAAAACGCGAACAGAACTGTTTGATAATCTGAGAACTGTCGACACTCGTGAGACACTGGCTCGCTCATCATGCTGCTGTCAACTTTTTTAAAATGCATCCTTTATTTTTACCCTTCTAGGAAACTTTTCTCTTAATTTCCTTAGACTTTACAGCTGATATTTAGCTAAGAAGCCAAGTGCACAATTTGGCATTCCTTTATTCTTTCCTTGCTGTGAGGGGCAGCCAATCAGAAGAATGTAAGAGGAACTAAAACGACCCGGTTGAGACAGAGGATGACTCGACATACATTAACAATGTATCGAGTCCAGAGCACACACTGTAGAGCCACTTTTTAATCTTTTAACTCATAGATTTGCACCAAATTCAGATGGATGTTCTTGTCAGTTCATAAGTCATATTACTATACTGGACCTTAGTTTAAGATTTGTCGTTATCTCATAGGGAATAAAGAACTTTTTTTTTTTTAAGTGCCTGTTATTTTTCTTTAAAACAGCAACAATATTTAGGAAATTATGAGAAAATTTTCCAAGGAATAATCCATAAATCACAACAGGATTTTGGAAAATTGACGTCACTTTGTTTAAATTCAGGACAAATTAGATTTGAACTCTGGTTTCTTGATCGTCACGATGTGGCGTTTGCAAACTGCCCCGCGTATTGACTTGATGGATTTCTGTTTCAGAGGGAAAAAAGCTGTTTGTGTAAGAAAGAAAGACGACATCACCAGCGGCGAGTAAACACAGACACCGAGGGTGGAAAACCTAATTTCTCCTCATAGTTCTCCGAATCGATGTCGGCATCGGCTCCAAGCTGCGTCTCTCACAAGTTCAGACACCAAAGTTTCACAGCGCTTTAGGTAACGAGACAGAGGAAGTTAACAGCATGTAGGCAGACTTCAGACTAATCATTCAGTTTAACAGCATTAGATTAGTTATTTCTAATTATGAGAAACTGTTAGCTGGGTTAATGAGCCGTTTGGCTCCAATTTTTTACAAAAACACATCACAGCACTACTTTTTTTTTTAAAGGTATATCAAATCACCACTTATGTGCTTACAGATTCAAATTTGACTGATTTTTTTTTTTAAGGGGATAAAATATAATATTACATTGCCATGAGATTATAATGTGAAATACTGCATAAGGAATCTTAGTGAGATTCAAGTTTTACCTTATAAAATGCATTTCATGTAAACTTTCCCTGAGCTTTTAATCTGCTTGCATATTTCAACAATGAGGATTTCTATTCAAAAGTTCTGAAGTGGAAAAAAGTGACCCTGCGAGGTCCGAGTGACAACTCCAACCCTAAATATAACCAATCAGAATATGTATAATTTGTTCTTATTTCAACTATATTTAGACTGAATTTAGTTTTAATAAAATAAATTGCAATCAGAAACAAAATAACTGAATCACAACCAAAACATTTCTTCCAAAAATGTGAAGTTTTTAGGGTTTGATTACAGCGATCCACTGTGAGACAGACGTGAGAAGCACTTATATCAACAGTGTTCATGTCACGAGGGATGGATGCAGAGGTGAAATGATTCCTGCTGAGCTTCAACAGCACAAACCTTACAAACAGCATCACATCTGGGTTTAATCGCCTAAGAAACAAACGCTGCTTTGTTGACGTGATGCCATTTGCTTTATAATTTCATGCCCAAGTTAGATCAGTTTCCCAGTTTGACTTTCACCGTGAAACACAGCACATGTAACAGTGTGGGAAGGAAAACAAAGAAAATTACTGCCGCTGCAGAATTAAAGCTATTAACGACCGGCGTTCTCGAAACGTGCTCGTCGTTAGAAACGGCAAATTTAAGCAGTTAAAGTTGTACAAAGCAGCGGGATTTAATCATTTGCATAGCTGATGGCTGACAAAGTTTGCATCATATGCACATCAGAGCAAAACTACATATTCTACCTCAAACAAACACAAATGCTGGTTGATCAATCAGTTCACATGAAAAGAAAAGAACCGACAAAAAAGAAAATCGAGCCACCTTAGCTTATTAGCTTATTTCTAACTCAAACTCAAAGATGTGGAGGTTTGTGAGCCCCTCTGACTGTAAGAAGACGCACGACTGTGAAAGTTCCCCCTTTATAAGTTTTTATCAGTTCTGAGGAGATGCAGATTGCAGACGGAGCTGCTCTGCAGCCGAAATGTGTCTCGTGCTGCAGTGGAAACGTATTAATCATCTTTCACAGCCTCCAAACATCCTCAGATCCCATCTTCTCTCAGTTTTAAACTAACTGCAAGTTGACTAACTCGAGGGCTATTTTACGCCAAATGATTAAAGAGATAAACTGTGATTTAAAAAAAAATTCACAGCAATCCTGTTAATAATCTAATTCTTTGATTTAAATAGAAATTTATGTTTCACTTGCGTGAATTCTTTCAAACGATAGGCAGCTCATTTAAATCATTTCTTTAATGAGACTTTAATGGGAAAAGCTTCCAGTTAAAAAGGCTGCGCTGAATGAAATGCATAATAAAGTCATTGACTAATTACTATGCTTTTTTTTTTCCCCATGGCAGAGCAGGTCTGCCTCCAACAAAGCTTTAAAGTCGAATCTGCTAAATAAAGGGGGGGTTTAGGGTGTGTATTGTGCTAAATTCACAGTTTAGGAACAAAGGGTAGTGCGAAGTTACTCCCAGCACCTCTCAGAAATCTGTTTCTCGTGGAAAAATGAACCTCAGACAGAAAAATCGGGAGAAAAGACGCTGACATTTTTAGGCTTTCAGGTCCAAGTTGCAGTCATCCTCCCGAGTACGCCCTGGGAAGAAAAGGGAAAGTCATAATTAATCCTCAGTAAACAGACAATGATGCCGCGTCTGCTGTAGAGAGAAACCAGACTTGTGCGTTAAGTTTTAGCTACAATCACGAAACAATTTTCTGATTCCGTTTGTTTGACGTTTTCTGAAAAAGCAGCGCTGAGGCTGCAGTGGAGTTCTGAAATGAAAAAATAAAAGCACATGCTTTTTTAATCACAGGTGAGATGACCCATGAACACGGCCTCTGAAGAGCCTGTGAAGGCACGAGCAACGCTTCATTTCACATAGAAAATCCTGAACGGTGACTCGGAGACGGCCGTATAGGAGTTAAGCTGAACCTCTGAAAGCAGCGTTTTAAATTCACAAATTAGTTTCAATAAAGTTAAAGTGGAAAGCTCGAGCAGCTACTCACCCAAATCTAAATCAGTTTGTCTTCTTCTTGGAAGATTTTTTCTTTTTCTGGAATAAAAAAAAATAATAATATTGCTTAACTGCTTCTCCATGCAAATTATTTGGAGAGGAAACTTTGAGTTTACTTTAAAATGCCTCACAGTGCCAACACTTCTTCACAGATCTATAAAACAACTTAAGCAAAGACCGAAGATTTCTTTTTCCTTGTCTCTTCAAACTGTCAGTCAGTCTCATTAACGAGGGGAAACTTAAACGGCGGCGTACTATAACTCTGAATATTTTAAAAGGAAGGATGAGAGTTTCTTACCCCAGAAGCAGCTGGAGGAGTGTGTGTGTCTGCAGCAGGCTCGACCTCTAGTTTCTCCTGTAGTCTGCTCTTCTCTGTGAATATCAGCACATTATGAAGTCATTTAAAGGAACTGCTGCACTTTGTGGTAGTGTGGTGTGTGTGGAACCCCTGCACGGTCATTTTTTTCACCTCTCTGGATGATTGCAAGCATCATCTTGCAATAGTTTCCCCCTATCCACAGGCAGAGGTGTACTTAAGATAAACTGGAGAAAGCCAAAAGACATCTGGGCCACGGTCATTGTTTACAGGTGGAAATATATGCTTTTAGCTCTCCACATGGGCCTTTTGTCTGCAACAAAAGCCTCCTTGAATGCAACTGGTCACTAGAACTCTGATTACAAAGAGAAACCAGAACTAAAAGTCTTGTCTCTTCCCCTTCTGTATATGAATACACCAGTTTCTCTTCAGAGGTTATAAATATGATTCAATATCATGTAACAGACTACAGTGAGAGGCAGTGTACTCTCAGCTGTGCCTGCAATAGCACAAATGTGCAGCTCTGAGCCGAGAGAGAAAACTACAGCAGCTACGTCTTTGTTTTAGACGGTGTGTGAACCGAGGGGCGACATTAATGCACGATTTGTTACTAATAAGGATTATTTTGAACCTTGAATCTACTCATGTAGAATCCAGCAACAAATGTGAGGTGATGGCCCCACAGTGGAAGATTACAGAGGGTTGCAGGTTGTCCTTCTCAGACATTAATGCATCAAAAACTAAAGACATGGTGATATCGCTCCATCTCTCCTGTGGTGAGGTTGTTGAGTTCGTGTAGCCTTGCACTGTGACTGTTAACAAGCTGACCTTTGAACTTCAGGTGGATGCGCTGTAGAGCTTTTCTCTGTCGGTAAGCTCACCAGCCCGTTTACTTTGATAGGAAGCTTTGTGGATTTTATGTAGACAGCGTCTTTATGATAATGCTTTATTACAGTTTTATGGAGTCTGTCCTGACATGTCCTTTTCTCAGCCTGTGCAGGTCACTGAACCTCAAAAACCAAAAGCAGGCTGTGAGATATAGTTAAAGTCTAAAGAACTGCACACTGTTGTGACGTAGTGTCCTGAAAAACTATGCACATTCTTACTGTTTGCATAGGAATTACAAGGCTAAATAGCAGCTAGGTGTTGCTAATAAAACTGACTTAACTGATCAAAAGCAGTCGGTCTGGAGCATTCGGGAGTATCAACGCAATGCCACAATGTTCCCATGAGTGAACATATCCCAGCAAGTTACTTATAAGTTCCATCGGTGCAATGCTCAGAGAAACTGCAAGAGCTACAGCTCAGACTCTACGGGCCTCAGTTAGCATGTTAAAATTGATGACAGAAAGCCTCTTCACTCTAAAGAGAACATGGCAGCACGGCTTAGGTCTGCAGCGCTGCATCTGCATAAATCGCATGACTCCTGGAATAATGTCCTTTAGATAGAAAAGACCGACATATAGACATCTGGCCATCATGTGTAACACCACGTAACACACAAACGCCTCATACCAGCTGTCAGTTACGGTGATGATTTATGCTCGTTTTGCATTCACAGGATCTGAGCTCCTTGCACCTTCATTTGACTGAGTATACCAAAGTGTATACCAACAATGTGAGAGACTGATAAAGTCAACAGAAGACAATTACTTCAAGTTATTGCTGCTAAAGGTGGATCTACAAGCATCGTGTTTATCCCAGCAGTGGTGTAACTATGGTTCAGTTCATATCTCACAGTCTGGGTCATGTTTTCTTCTTCCTCCAGTATGACGACGAACAATAATACTCTGATGTATAACCTGTTACCGCAGCAGTCTTTAAACATTATAGCTTTCACCACACTGGTTGCAGATCGATGGTACCGCAGGACGATATTGCAGATGTTTGTGTCAAGACTTCATGAACTGTCACACCCTTAATATAGCGCAACATGAATGCTAACTTAGTAAGAAGAAAGTCTTACTTGTTTTCTTAGCAGGTACATCTTGGCTCACATTTTCGGCAGCTTCCTCGCATTTAACCGCCTTCTTCTTCCTTTTCTTCTTCCCTCCGTTTGAAAGCGCCGACGTATCGGCATCATCAAGAATCGCAGCACTCTGGTCATCTGCCACACCGCTCTGATCCTCAGCCTGCAGCTCCCTCTTCTTCTCCTTCTTTGCCTTGGGAGGTTGGTTTTCCTTTGACGAATTTTCTTCTAGGTCAGCATGTTTTTGCATCTTTTTCTTCTTCTTTGGCATTTCGTCCTCCCGAATGGGCTCAACTTTGGGTCTTTTGCTTGACTTTGGGTGAAACACTTCCTCTGTTTCTTCTTGTAGGTGTTTCTGTCTGAAAAATGGAAGTAATCCTTTAACTTTTACTGTGATTTTGTAAGAACCTTCTGCACATTTCTACTGGTAGCACGAACCTGTACAGCATCAAAATTCTGCAAGGTGACATTGAAACAATGATAGCAGCGCCAAGTTCTACAATCGTTTGGCTTCGCTTTTGTTTCACTTGTAGTTTTATGAAGAAATATGCCAAAGATAAGCAGAAACTACTCACTTCTTCCTTCTCACATGGTTCTGATCTGCAGATAACTTGTTGCTCTTCATCAACCTCATCGCCAGCTTCTCCTTCTTATGAAGTTTTAATCTCCTCTTCAGGCTGAGCTTCTTCCTGAGACGCTTTTTCTTTTTGGCCGAGGAGTCCAAAGAAGACTTTCCCTCTGCAGGAGCAGGCCAAAAAGAAAATAAAATGCACAATTAAAGTTATCTAAAAATCACACTAGATTTTATCACCACTAATGATTAAGAGTAAAGGCCACATGAAATGCAAGTCCATGTCTTTTACAGGGAACTTTCAGGAAAGGCTTTTCCTCTCTCTCTCTCTACCTGTGGCTTCCATTTTCTCCTCTGTGCCATTACTGCCCCCTGCTGGTTGTTCTTCAGATTGCACCGCCTCGTTCTCCTGACCTCCTTCCTTTCTCCTCTTTTTCTTCTTCTTCTTTTTCTCCTCCGTTGTCTCTGCCAGACTCACAGGATTCTCAGCCTTCTCCTCTACTGCTCTTCCTGCCTCCTCCTCTTCCACATCTTTAGCCTTCTTCTTCTTCTTCTTCTTTTTAATTTTGTTTTCAGTGACAGTGTGAGTTTCCTCTTCCTTCTCTTCTTCTTCGTCTCTTTCCCTTTTCCTCTTCTTAGCCTTCTTTTTCTTGTCTGGTGGAGCTAACTGAGACGCCTCAACCTCATCCTCCTGATCTCCGCCATCCTCTGTCACCTCCTCTTCTTGTCTCTTTTTGTCTCTCTTTTTCTTTTTGGCAGATTTCCTAGGAAGAGGAGTGTCACTGAGTGGATCTGGGGTAGATGCATCAGTGCTGCTGGGTGTGTCCGTGATCGATGCGTCTGCTGTTGACGTCTCAAAATCCTGTTTGCTCTTCCTTTTCTTTTTCCTGGGAGTGCTGCGGTCTTTACAGGACTCGGCAGTCTCCTCAGGGGACAGCTGGCCGGTCTCTCGCTCAGCTGCTTCGTCATCTTTGACTGTGATGTTGATGATGATGGAGGCCTCTGGGTCCGATCGCTCTTCTGAAACCAACGTGACTTTGATACCAGTTGGACTGGCTGAGAGGTCACTCTGGATCCCGGTGTCCACGGGGATTTTCAACATCTCCGTGTCTCCCTCCAGCTCCGAGGAAAGATCTGCGACCTGTGACGTCTGAGTGCAGAGATGCATACAGGAATTAAAACATGCTGCATATACACAAAGTCATTACAGATAGTGCAAATGTACTCATTATTATTCCCCATCTGCTTCTGGCAAAGACCTATCTTCACCATAAGTAGTTGTATCACCTCAGATTTCTTTGTCTCCTCCACGTCATCCTCCTCCTCCTCTTTTGGATTTTTAGATTCACCATCAGGGTCTGAAAAATATTATAAAATGCCTACATTAGATTACATTTGTAGTCTTTTATACCTGATCAGAGCTTTAAGATTTAAGTACATGACGTGAGACTCAATAAAATCATCTTTTTAAAATCAGTCGACAGTCTATTACAGTGGCAACTCTGGGAAAAACAGCAAGAGACATGAGTCATAAGGCAGTTTTTTTTGTTTGGTCATAAAAGAAAAGAAAAATAAGATAACGAGACATTTTAAATTGCCCTGATGGGATCTCAGGCTGGGTTCTGTCTGATGTATTGAGGATTAAAGTGGAGAGCAGAGCACACACTACGACATGTTTGTGATATATCTAACACTTTTATTCGACGAGCATCTCCAGGTGTATTTTTTTCTTGATAGCAGCATCAGATCACTCTCCCCCCACAGGAATCCAACTCTGAAGCCTTTCTGCAGCAGATGTTTGGACTTGTCATAGCAGGAAGTTCAGGTCGATAATAATATTATTAACAAAAGGCTCCTTTCCAGGAATTTGTGCAGTTCAGTTAGTAAAATCCAGAACTGCCTCCGTGTTTGACAGGTCAGAATGCGAAAAACCTTCGTTTCTATTCAAACGTCATCTATCATTTTCACATTTTTGGGTGAAAGATGCGATTGTTTTCCAGATGATTGCAACTCTCAGAGTAGTCATAACTCCGGCTTACTTAACAAGCTGTGACAAGCTTTACAAACTCCTCTGAGAAGTTACACAAGTGAGTGGCGTCGAAAAACAACTGCTGTTTCTCGGCTTTGGCAGAAATCTGTCAAACTCTTTTACAAGTTTTGGCACTGAATCCAGCTGCCTCGGGGTAAAAATATTCAAACTTTGTCTAAAACTTCTGTGCTTAAACAGCCGGAGATGACGTGCTGTCAATAAAAGGAAAAATGAAAAGACAGAATGCCTTTTTTCTCCCTTGTAAATAAATGGAAAAAAGTAAATCCAGAGTACAGCGACGACGCTGTGCTTTGTTGGAAACCGCTCCAACAACAACTCCCTTTTTGGAACTGCTTTTTAATATCAGTGAATAACTTTTAGGTCAGTTCGTCCAAATCAGCAGCCATTAAATGAAAAGAGTCGAGCCTCACAGCTGTACGCCTCCACCACAACAAGTCGAGATAAAGCCAACATCCATCTCCCCTTCTGTTCCCGAGGTGTGTCGTCACATCACCACAAGAAACGTGTTGAGAGGCGGCTGGATTCTCACTAGATTTGCAAGCTCACAACAACCTGGTGTGCTTCGTGCTAGACGAACCACAGTTGATTTAATCAAACGAGTGTCCTGCGAGGAAATGGCGAACACCAAGGTCACAGCTACAGATGGGCTTCAGGTGTGACAATATTTAGTTTTTTCCCGGGTTAATTAAACTTTTGGGGAAAAAAGAAAACTGCTCAGCAAAGCAACAGGTTGAAATGTGTCTTTCTTCTTGAAGCTACGAAATATGAGTTTTTAGACCGTTTAGTCTTCTTCAGTTGAGAACGGCTGGTCTTTTCGTTTGCCTTGACTTGAGCTCTTCATGCATCACAGTTTTCAGATCCTTCAGTGGTGTAGCTGAATGAAAAACTGAAGACCTTGTGCCCATATGTTAGGAAGTGCATCCTACTTAACCTCAACTCTTTGTCATTGCGGCACAACAGCTTACGAAATGAGCATCGAGCTGCCTGAGCTCACACTCCAAGTGAGAAGTAATGTTATACTTTTTTCTCTATTGTTGACTTATGACGAAAAAGATGTCCAAGTAATCATAAATACATATTCAATTCAACTTTATTTATACAGCACCAAATCACAACAACAGCCGCCTCAAGGCCCTTTATATTGTAAGGTAGACCCTGCAATAATACATACAGAGAAAACCCAACAATCATATGACCCCCTAATCAGCAAGTATTTTGGCGACAGTGGGAAGGAAAAACTCCCTTTTAACAGGAAGAAACCTCCAGCAGAACCAGGCTCAGGGAGGGGCGGAGCATACAACATTAATATTCACATATAAAGATAAGAAGCTATAAAGATGAACCAATTTTAGAGATTATATGAATGTGTGTAATATTCTTATAATCAATCATTTAATTATGTCGGTCATGAGCACGTGCATCTTCTCTTTGTCTTATGTAATCGTATATACGGAAAGATGAATGTGTGGGTCGTCATAACTACGAATTTAGTGATAAGTTTAAATCAATCAATCAGGAGAAACATTCTGATTACAGATACAACCCTACGACAAATCTCACTTTCTTTCTTAAATCAACCTTGCAGTGATTTTCATGCCTGAGCAGAAATGTGAAATTTTGAAACTCTTGTAACTGTGGAAACAAACCTGGACGGCAGATGTTATCAGACTGATTTTCATAATACTTAAAAGAAACCTGCTGCAGAGGCAGCCGCACTGAAGCCTCGGTTTCTTAACAACAGCTTGTGACTCTTGTCAGAGCAGTGAGAAAGAGACGGAAAAGATGCCATGCATTTAGGGGGAAAAGAACAAACCGCTAATTAAAAATCTATTGGCTGTTAATACCTGCAGAGGGCGGGGCTTGACCGTCTCCTAGCTGGTCACTGGTTTCCAGAGCTGTCAGGTCAGAGGTGGTGGGTTCAACCAGGATGGGCATCTGCAAGAGGTCAACAGAGGTCTTTCACCACCAGACATGACGAGTCAAGTTTTTACAGATTTAGTTCTTAGTTTAACTGAATTATTTAAATACTTTGTAATTGTAGTGGAAATATCAAAATATGCAGGCACTTCAGGGATGCATAATAAAAGCAATCACAGGTTCTGTACTCGTATCAATTAATATATGAATATGAAGCAGTACTGCACCTCTCCTGCTGTGGCTTCTTCACCTTCTGGAGACTCGGCTTCGCTGACTTCCTGAGTGGGAACATCTGTCTGCTGTGACGCCGAAGCTTCTTCTATGTCTTCTGAGGTGTTTGTGGTTGCTTCCTGGAGAAAAACCAAGCAGAAAGATCAATTTAATCCTACAAGAAAACAAAGGCGAATTAATACAGCTCATTTTTGTCAATAACAGCTAAAATTGCACTCGAAGCCACAGTAAGTCTTGGAAACATGGCTGCATCACTAAAGAGAAGTCAGATGGATAATGGTTTAAACACTTCCAGCCTGGAGGCGCTGGTGCCAGCGCCGGCCAGTATCTGCTTTACAACTCAGCCGGCACCATTTTCTGAAGGTTGCCAAGCATGGCGGCATTCGCTGAAGAGGACAGCTGGGACTGCTGGGACAAAACTGAATGCAGTTTCTTTTGTGTGTTGCTTTTCTCATGCACCAAATTAGATACCAGTGCAGGTGATAATCTTTAGTTTTAGGTCTATGTTGATGTGTGCATGCGGGCAATAATAACAACAAGAGGACTGATATTTGTTTCCCAAGTTGCATTTCTGCCAATTTATTGTTTTTCCAGATGCTCTGGATTTCGTGGAAGATGACAATTAAATTTAGATTTATTTTTTTTTAACTAAAAAAATAGTCTAAGACTTGATATAAACTAAGCATCTATGGATATGAGCATAAGAGGAAGGAGCATAATGATCTTTGATGCATAGCACACCAGCATGCTGCACTAGTCTGTAAACAGAGCCAGATGTTTACAACAGTTTGGGCGACAATTAATTAATATTTGGCTGATCAGGGTTTTTGTTTACAGCTTTTTGATTGCTCATGTCCGATTTATTATTACTGGCGCTTCCATCTTTCCACATGTGAGCAATAAATCTTGCAAATACAACGCTACTTAACTGATCAAATTAGATGAATTATTCATTGCTGGCTTTTAACAGTCCTGTTTTGACACTTGGAGAGATGAATGTTGCAGAATTATTATTATTATTATTATTATTATTATTATTATTATTATTATTATTATTATTATGGTAAAAAGGTGGCACCACAAATTCTCATCTTTATGCAAAAAAAAAAAAAAATCATACATTTAATTTCTGTATGTTTTTTATTTGATCTTTTTCTTGTTGACAACTGGCACCAAATTGCTTGTTTAAACAATGTAAGTGCCAATTAAATCTGACGTTTCTGTTTCTGTTGGAGCTTCAGATGATTTAAACATGAATACAGAGTTTTAAAGAGCACCGACTTGTTGCACTAATTAAGAGCAACATCTAATACGGTGACATTTAATCGCAATCTTTTACGTTCCAGTAAAGTCCTAAAAGAAAAATCACAATTCAGCAAAGAAAGGCTGCCTGCAGTGTTGACTACTGGAAGCGTAACAACACAAACAGTCCACTGCAAAATAAGTTTCAGCTGTGCAGAGGTGAGCTGAGGAGAAGGAGGCTCTGCTGAGCCAGGAATCAACAGCTACTCCCATTTTTTTATGAGTGTGGTTTAAGGTGATTAACATTTCTGCTCATTGCAGAGCGATCCAGTGCGCCAGGAGGAAAATTAAACAGCACACTAGGCCTTTAAAGACATCAAGGTAGAGCGAGTGATGCATATGTGCTCAAGTGTCAGTCGCATGAAAAAGTTTTGCGAGATATGATGAAATGAAAAGAAAAATAAACATCTGACACAAAAGTTTAAAATGAAATTGATGACCTAACCTGCTTCAGATCATCACTGCCCTCTTGATGCTCCACTTTAAGGTCACCGCCTGAGACTGAGGCCTCGGCTGGATCGGGGGCCTGCGATTGGTCCTCAGCCTGATCAGGTAACACCAGGCTGTTGTTACCCTGGCTGGGTGCAGTTATTTCCTCAGCGTCTGAAGAGGCAGAGCTCAGGCTTTCTGCCTCATTGGACGCCTCAGCACACACTTTAGTTGGAGCCGACTGGAAAATATGTACAGGCAGTTAGAAGAACTTGCATCCTGCTGTTTACTCAGAATATCTGCTAGTTTCAGGAAGACAAATCCAAGACACTCGAGGATCTTTTTACTGCTCTGTATACCCCATTTATTGGAGACTATATTTCACTGCAAATGAGGTGCTATGCTGAGAACAGTGTACAGGCTTTTTACGTTTGGGGGAAACAATGCAACAGAGCAATTTCAAATACTCGCACACAGACTAAACTTGTTGTGTCAAATATATTTGGACTATATAGATAGAGACACCCTGTGTTTACGTCCCCTAGCATGCACAACAACAAACCCAGACATGCCTGAGAGCGATAGCTGCATGTGCCAGCCTCCAATGATATTTAGTACATAAAAAGGGAGCTACTTCAACAACCCCCAACAAACCACACTCCTCTGCAAAGTATGCAAGACAATTGTTGCCACTAAATATGGAAAAAAACTTGTTTCACCACTTTAAGCAAAAAAACACCATCAAGTCCAAGCAGGCCAAGAAGGCACGTGAGGAGGAGATGCTAGCATCTCTTTATATGCAATCCAAAAGTAAAAATATGACTCCACTGAGTGTCGCTGGAGCACTTGCTAGCTCCGCTCCACATCACAGGAAGTCCATTTTAATCCACAGAGAGCAGATTTAATTCAACCAGCTGGCGAAAACTACAACTAAAAGAAACTAGAAATTCTGCTGAGTAGAAACATCTTTGCCGTTAAGAATGTGATGTTGTTGTTGTTGTTGTACAGCAAAAAGAAAGCCGCAGTGCTTTTACCATTAGACACAAAGTAATCAGGGTTTCCAGCAGCTGTCGACAGAAACCACAACGAATAGTTCGCACAGAAACGAGCACGCACACAATTTGTCTCTGAAGATTACCGTTGTCACACGCACACAATTCTGTGTCCACACGGCATTATCTGCTGCATCACTGGGCCAACACAAAAGAACAGACAAGACACACACACACACACACACACACACACACACACACACACACACACACACAGCAGTAATAACAACAGAGGAAACTAATACAGGACAGATGAGACGAGTGGAATTGTGTCCGTGTGTTTCACAAGCGTATAACAACACTGCAGCTACTGTCCATCTATCAGCACATTATTACAGTGGCTGGACAACAGCTATGTGTGTTCATGATGGCACTGCTTTCCTCCTCCTGTAACAACGCTCAGCACTCGATACTTACTTGAACGCTTTTTACTTTTTGCTTTTAACTTTAATGAAAACCTTTAAAACATAAACCCCAAGTAAAAATATTCCTACATTAACCCTTTAAGACCTACCATAGAACCAAGTGCGCCAGAGCTTATATTATATTTTTACATGCTGTGGAGCCATTTTTGGGAGCATTTCAAGTTGCTATACATCAATACAACCATTATAGCCCAAATTTTAATAATATGTCTGCATTAAGTGCATAGTAATTACATAAATTGCAAAAAAGTGCAATAAACTACAAAAAAATTGAAAATCGTTTTTGTTTTTTTAACATATATTTCTAGTTGGAGAAATTTAAGAGGCTTATCCCTCAAAACTGTAAATACAAAAAAGTTGCACAAAATAGTTTCCTACCACAGGAAATTTATTTTAAGTGTCTTCATAGTTTTATTTTTGAAATACACCAATTTTTATATACTGCAATAAAAACGAAAATAAATCTTATAATGCAAATTTGCAAAAAAAAACCTGCATATGCATCAAAATAAACTATTTCCAGCAGTGCAATATGAGTCCTAAACATCCCAGAAACGACACAGAAAGTCATAAAGTCAAAGATAACTTTTAAAAACACCAGTATAGGCTCATAAGGCCCTGATGGTAAAAAACTACATTTTCGCAAATGACGTCACTTCCGGTTTCGGGCAGGTCATGGCGGACATGCGATAGTTCGTGCTGATGGACGAAGGAAGTGTTACAAACAGCTGATCGGATCGGCAAAGCCTGTTTCTGGAATATTATGTTTTTGTTCCTGCAAGCGCTTTTTATGCAATTTTTGCAAAGCTATATGTGGAAGGAAACTGTGACCGAGGACAAGCTGATGGCATAAGATGTAAGTACAACTCCTCCGGTTTCATATGCAAAAAAAATTATTGCGCTAGTTTACGTGGTTGCAGTGCTACCGGGATTTAAAAATAGTTATGCAAAATGGAGCGTGCCCGCTCCGACCGGCTTTAAAGGGTTAATGATCATTAACACGTCGCACCTTTATCTTTCCCTGCTCGTAGTTATTTCAAGAGTTGCTTTATGAGATAAGACTTAAATAACTCGTGTTCACTTCATGCTTAATCGTACAAATTTAGAGATTCATCTTTAATTAGATAAGGTCTGCTGGAGATTCCTCGCCTACTTTAATTAGTTTTAAGATGCTAATATTTGAAAATATGATTGTTATCTTCAGGGCATAGCTTATTTCAGATTATAAATGTACCGTTTGGGTGTCAGAATGTCAATATTATTACCTATAAAAGCTAATCTGCAGCTGTTTACGCAGGTGACAGAGAGAAGGATTATTAGCATGCAGACGTGCTGCAAAACTTTGCATAGGACCAACCACAACCACGCCTTCCTGCAGCTGCTGTTGTTGAGAAACCTCTTTTGAATTTAAGAAAACACATTTTTAAAGCTTAAGTCACACCAGGAAATAAACTGTTAGCATCTTAGCTGGGAAAAATGATTCTCCTTCTTATCTTGTTATTTCTCCTGTGATTTTAATACCATTTGAAGGCTACGGGATATTTTCTGGTTTTCTCGGCACACGTGTTCATCAACACATCCTAAATACCAAACATTTACGCTCAACATGCAGTTTGTCCTTATTGGCTCTCCCATATGAAGCACACATTAGCACTGACACAACAGGGCTACGCTAACTGAAAGGATTCTGTCTCCTCACTTTGAGAAAAAGGGGGCAAAGCTAGCACAGAAAAACTCAAACCCATTTTTCATGATATGTGAGATGTTCACCTCTTGCTCCGTTTTTGTTTCTTCCTCCTTTATCTTTTCTTCTTCCACTTCACTGTTAGAGGAGCCGGCGCTCTCGCTGTCAGAGTTTGTTGCTCGGGATTTATTATCAGCAGCCAGCAGCTGCTCACAGACACTCTCAGAGATGCTCTCTGCCTTCAGTGGCTCAACAACATCAGGCCCGGGCTCTGAAAGAGAAAATCTAATATATTTTAGACTGGCTTCATAGTCACCGGTGCCAAGATTTGTAAAAGAAATAAACAGAGTGAAAAAAAAAAAAAAGGATAACTTATACAATGCAAAGTTCAACTCAGTTTTCTTTATGTAGCGCCAATTTCACAACAAAGGTTGCCCCAAAGAGCTTTACATTGTAAGGTAAGGACCCTACAATATTAGAGATAACAGCCCAACAATCAGATGATCCTGTATGAACAGGTTACGAGACGTAACCCAGCAGCATGACTGAGGCACGTGTCAGGGTCAACCGATCTAGTAGTTACATTCCCTAAAAAGTCCAGGTGATGTGGAGAAGTAACAAAAAGTGTCCAGTTTGAACAAAGAAGGCAAGAATCTAACAATAAACTTTATCAAAAAGGGAAGTTTGAAGACTGATCTTAAAAGTAGAGAAACGTCTCCTACACTGTGAGCTAGCTGCGCAGGAGAGGAGCTTCTGACCATTTACAGCAGTGAGGTTAGTCACAAACACTCGACACACATTACTCCAGTCCTGGCAGAATTACACTGGCTTCCCATTTGCTACAGAACCCAATTAAATTTTTCACTGATTACTTTTAAATCACAGACAATCAATTACTGTTACAACTTCTGCAGTGTGGGCTCAAAGCACAGGAGCCCATTGTGGAACAAACTTCAGCTTACTGCTAAATTAGCTTTAAATTAGCATTAGATAAATAAACAAAAACATATTTTTACAGAGAGGCTTTTGTTTGTTTTACGTTTTCATTTCTTGTATCTTCCAAAGATAAACTAATGAATCAGCTGTATGACTGACAGGTTGCTAAAATAATTAATTGCCAAGTTGTTGCTCTATGTATCTATTAAACATCAGAAAAAATAAAAATGGAAATCATCATTCTCCAGAAATCAAGATTTAAACAAGCATTAATTAGAAAATGTTTGACATTTAATTAACTAAATTCATTTCAGCTACAGATGTGCACATATTAGTGGCTTTATTTTGTCCTAACTACTGCAATCAAACATAAAATTTACCGAGTGGAGGGTTGGAAGCCACATCATCTCCTCCTGTGACACTGGAGAGCCTGGTGTCTGCAGCCTCTGCTTTGATGCTTTTCTTTGAGTAACTGGACTCTTGTGTCTCCTGTTTGGCATGCTGGGCTAGGGAGTACAGTCTGTAACACACACACACACACAAATGAATTACATTTCTTTTACTGGCTATGCTTATACATGAGGTAAAGCACCAACTGATGAGCTGAAAAACGCAGTCAATGCAAATCTCGATTCCACCAGCGACCACTTGAGGCTGACTCTAAAAGTGAGTCTCAGACTCACAGATTCCCGAGTTAAATTGTCCAACTTAGGCATGAATTTAACACGTTTACATGCTAGTATGAGAAGTATTTTTGGCCTCATGTATGTTTTCTCCCTTCATCACAATTGTACACAGGGCTAATCTTTATTATAAATCATTTAAATGGAATTTGCTGATGCTTAAAGTTATGGCTGTGGCCTCTTTAATTAGCAGATTTACAAACACAGATTGCTTAAGTTGATAGCAGCGTGCCAAGTTTCAGCCCAGAAAGCCTGAAATGAACTCTGGACCATTTTAGTGTTTAGAGCATTTTGGAACAGTTACATGGCTAATAATTTAACTTTTTTCTCCAGTTTCCAAACTATTATAACATAACATACATCTGTATATCTCTAGTAAAGTAGTAAAACTAGTAAAGCGCTATACAAATACAGGCCATTTATCATTTACATCCGGTTTCACCAACACCAAAATGGCGAGCCTTAGTGTTCCAACACGCACTAATACGTGATGCTGCAGTGGCAACATCCATCTTTTTATAAGCAGTCGGGCTCAAAACATCTCAAACTGGTTTCTTGAACACGAGTTCACTGTACTCAGATGGCCTCCACAGGCACCAGATCTGAATCTAACAGAGCGCCTTTGGGATGCGGCGGGAGACTCAAGCCACGGATAAATCTGCAGGAACTGTGTGATGCTATCCTATCAACATGGAAAATCTCCGAGGAATGTTTCCAGCACATTTTTCAATCTATGTCACAAAGAATTAAGGCAGCTCTCAAAGCAGAAAAGGAGTCTAACCCAGTACTGGGAAGGTGTGCCTAAATGGTCGTGAACGTAAACAAGCATTCGACTTGATTTAGCTATGCTTGGAAGCAAATAGCTAGCACAGCTATAGACTACACTGTTCTGTTTACATGTCTTTACTCTTTATCAGTGCAGTGAAGTAATTCAATTATGTGTTTTTCTCCCACCTTAACCCCCAACTAGCTGCCCGTCCCTGAGCCTGGTTCTGCCGGAGGTTTCTTCCTGTTCAAAGGGAGTTTTTCCTTCCCACGGTTGCCAAGTGCTCGCTTACAAAGTGTCAGCTAACTTTGGAGAGGTTAAGTGTATTCTTACCTACATTATAAAGCACATTGAAGCAACAGGTGTTGTAAATTGACGCTATATAAATAATATTTAATTGAATTCACCAGCTTTTAAAAAGAAAAACATTTCTGTGAATCTCAGAAGCCTAAGAACTGCAGGTTTTTGATCATTTGCATCGTGGCATTAATTAGAATAGGGCTAAGTACCATTATGAGTACTTCTCCCTAATGAGCAGCTGTTTGAAAACAGTGTTTTTCTGATAATCAGAGGTGCCTTATATTCGGCACATAATTATGTATTTTCATTGACTTCTGCAGATTTCTGTTATTTTAGTGTTAGATTCACTTCGGCAAATGAGCTGATGTCATTGATTTAGCCATTTATCTGATGCCCATTTAATCCTCATTAGGGAGGCAGGGATTTGAAGGTGATCCCAGAATGCACTGGGCACAAGGCCAGGAAATCACTCACACAAACCGTACCAGTCGCATCCTGCTCACACAGACAGTGTGGAGTCTACAAATCACCTAAGCTGAGTGTGTCTCTGAATCGCATTACCTGCTGAGCGGTGACTCCAAAAAAGCAGGAAGTCATAAAATGTGGAGATAAAGAAAAACAGAGGATGATGAGAAAAAGCCACTATTTATGCACTTCATTGGGCTTAATCTCATTTTAGACCATTAAATGATTGTTTTAAGGTTCTTTGGGAGCCAGAGAGCCCCATCCTGTTTTCAGCTACGGACATTTTTAATCTACACATGCTGACCTGTACAGTTTGCTGTACACAGTCAGTTTTCACAGGATTTGCAGCACATATAACAATTACAGCACAAAGAATGTGACGTGTTAAATTTTACAATTTTCTTATAATTACTTTCTTTTTGGTAACTTGTGGCATTATATATTTATGTATACAAGTGTGTAACTGGGTGTGACTTACTTCATCCAGCCTGTGTAGATATCATGCAGGGTGGAGGAGCTCTCCACTGGTGTCTCCACCTACAACAGAACACACAACAGCCTGAGAAATACTGTGCATCTAAAACTTGCTCAGTACTGACTCTTCAAGAGTGTTTTCAAAATACAATTTCTCCTTTTCACTGATACCCTGAATGTTCTGTCTCTGCTTCAGCTAAACTTCCTGTGCGTCCCATAACTACATAGACAAAAGAAGAAAGGAAAAAAACACAGATAGCAAAGGGAAATAACAAATTTCCTGTGCTGCAGGAATGCTGCCACAAGCTTCCAGATGTGAATTCATGTAAAATATGCCAAAGAAGAGAGTATGATGAATACACAATGTTCACATAGAGGAGTGAAGGACAGTCGTAAGTAAATTCTAATAAGACTGCTGCTGTAACTTCATTCAGACTTTAAGGTGTTGTTTTATGTCCTTTCCAGCTCTCGTTTTATGTTTGAACTCTACGACAGTATAATATTCCTTATTTTTATGTTTTGATGGAGCCCACAGCTCATCCAGTGTCTGAAAAACCCTTCCCCCCTCTTTTTAATGGTTAGGAACCAGCCTATCCAGGGTTTACCCTGCCTCTGGCATTGTAACAGCTGGGACAGGCTCCAGCTACCGCAACACAACGCTGGATAAGTGGTTAGTAAAATGAAAGAAAAGATAAATGATATCTTATAATGAACTTCAGCAGACCGCTCAGTTAATTCACTCTTCCTTTAAGCCAACTTTCTTCAGATTGGCTGTCCCTCTAAACAGAAGGTCTGAACTGCAGGTGGGCGGGGTTTATGTACTTGCATTCAGACCTGTGAAGCCAAAATAGAAAAGAACTGTTGCAAACAGAGAACCCTTGTGATTCTCTGTACCTGTACCGACTCTGATCTCACTTTTCACATTTTCTTTTATCATGTTAAATATGAGCACCCGCCACTGTAAGTATGAGCAACTTTTGACAATGACATTTTTATCTCATAAGCTCTGCAGGAAAAGCTTACATCACACCTAAGCGCATGTTTCCTAACAGACAGACTCAGGAAGAATAAGACAATATTATTTTTTAGATTTCCCCTGTTAAAAAAGAAAATACCAGAAAAGTTTATTTTACAGTGTCTAGTTGCATCATAAGATGTCATCGGCACAGCTACTGGATAATCAATAGCTGCAGTGATTATGTGCAACAGTCCAAATACCCCAAATTCTAAAAACGAGTGAATTACAGCGAAATATAGAGAAAAGCATCCAGGTCTCGTATTTGAAAAATATGTAAGTAGTTCATCTCAGCTGGCTATTTAATTTTTTAAAAAGCTGCCGATTATTTTTAAATTGATGAAATAATCAATTAATCAACTTATCACAGCAGCTCCGGGAGCTTTAGATAAAAAGGTCAACTGTTATCACTAAACACTATGAAAAGGTGATGAGGTTTTGAATGGGGTGACAGCGTGCAGCAATAGGCCGCAGGAGCCGAGCTGCTTTGTGCAGCTCCTGTAACATAATGTTCTTTTCCTCCAGAAGGCCTGAACAAGGAGCCACACGCTTTGTCGCGCACACACACAGACTGAAGTGCATCTTACCGACAGCCACACTGAAGCAAACACACATCACATTTATATTTAAGTTGTTATATAACAAGCAAGATGCGCATGTCAGCTGATGAAATCACATAAAAAAATAGTCTTTTTACTCACATTTAACTAACGTGTGCGAGCTAGAACCCAGTCTACCGACTGCACGCTAAATATTAGACTGTAAATTCAAGCCAAACTTCTTACCTGGGTAACGTGCTTCTCCAGCACCTGGGCAGCTTTCTGGTAGCCGTTCACCTTCAGGTGCTGGTAGATTAGAAACAGCAGCACGTCGTCCTCCTCTGAGGCCATGCTGTCCGACGGGACCGACTGGCAAACCGGGAAAAAGTGCAAATAATATTGACGGGTTATTTACACTTCAGTACATGCTCGCTATTCGGCGTGCGCACATGTGCGCTGACGACGCCCCCCTCGAAAGGCAGCATGGGAAATTGTGTCTTTGGAAGAAAACGAAGTATAATTTCAAATTTACCAGTTTTATTAAAGAAAAATGTAACCAAAACATTAAAACAAAGCTTAATTCTTTCTTTATTCTTTCTCAACGCAGCCTGAACTCTGCTGGGGAAGCTTTCTTGTCATTTCTCTACACTCTTCTTGAAAGACATTCAAAGCTCTTCTTTAGATTTTGGCTGTCTGCTGTTTTATTCTCTGTCAAGCTGATTCCATCATGATTCCAGTAATGTTGTGGTCTGGACTCGGAGGGGTCTGTGTGTTTGGGATCATTGTTATGCTGAAAAATGAATCATCCCCCACAGTCTGTTACAGATGGCTGACCTCCTCCACACATATTGACAATTATTTGAAACAACATATTCAAATTTGGTTTCGAAAGATCTGTTGCCACTGATTTTCAGTCCAGTTCTTGTATAATCTGGCATACTTCAGCCTTTTCTCCTTGTTTCCCTTCCTTAGGATTGGCTTCTTGACAGCCACCTTTCTACTGAGACTTATTCTGAAGTTTCAGCAAACAGTAGATAAATAAACTGAAGGGCTAAAGCATCTCTCAGCTCTGGTGTCAGTTCTTTAATGGTTTTTGTTCTCTTTCTTAAGAACATGATTTTCAGACACTGTACTGTGCCACTTCTACTTTTGTCCTCCACTTGTCCAGTTTCCTGCTTTTTTTACGGACACACTGACAGGTTTTCAGCTACTAGCTCTTTGTTAATCACCATTTTTGTTGGAGCAAAAATGCTGTTTTATACCAGTCACACTGTTTTGTAGAGTTAGCTCAGGAAAGCTGCTGGCAACAAAGTGCTTAAAGATATCATTTAAAATTGGTTGTTTGCTAGATTAAGTCTTTTATGTGCTTTGATTATGGAGCTTTTTCACGGTGGAACAATTGAAAGATCAGTATTTAGTGTCTTTACAAAGAAACAAACAAAAACATTCATCTAAAAATGGTACAAGGACTGGAGTAAAATGGAGTAAAAATGAAAAACATTGAAAAATCTCCAGAAAGCCTGGAAAGCTACTGCTCAAGATCACTTGTAAAAGATCTTGTTAAAAAAATTACAAGTGTGGCTCCTTGGAAGCAAAATATAAAGAAATAAAATGGGTGATTCAAGACTTCTGCACAGTACTGTATATATAGTGGTACAGTGGTGGATACTGATATTAAAAATTAGGAAACTTTTTATTTTATTTAGTTTTTATTCTTAAATAAAATTTCAAAAAAGTTAAAATAAAATAATAAAAGTAATTAATAAAAATAAAATATAAATTTTAAAAAGGGGGATACTTTAATGATGTAAGAAGTGTACATCTGATCTCTGTGAGACAATAACAGGCTTCAAACTTGTTTTAGATATTTTTTCTACTCTTGGCTCTGTATGATGTCACAGAGGGCACATCCCTAATAAATGTGACTTATTCAAAACTACAGTAATACAGTCCAAGAAGAATAAGTGTGCCTCTTGGCATAGGCACACTTAATAAAAGTTTGAAGCTGTAAATGAGCAGAATACAGCTGACAGGAAAAGGTCCTCAGTTAACGCTGAGCTGTTTAATTAGACAGAAAGGTTTCCACTCATCCATCTGCTATTAAAGGTTCGTATTGAACAAAGGTTCAATACGAAGGTTATTATCATATAAATAAAGTAATGCAGCATTTTACATTTTTAACAAAAAGGAACAAATTTAAAGATAATTGGTAACATTTAATTAATAGACTAATGAAATCCCTAACACACTATTTAAAATGTTTTTACAAATAAATACATGGATGCTGATTTTGCTCAAGAAATCAAAATACAAAGTGAGTCAAAATCAGAATTTAAAATCCGTACACGTGACTAGTATTAGCTTTTCAGTCAGCTGAATCAAAACTACAATATGTTTTTAGAGTCTGGAAGTGGAATTTCATTAATAATCCTGACCCAACACATTTCTTTGTCAATAAATGGACTGCTTATAGCAGGTGTGTGAAACATAAGGCCCTGGGACCATGAACTGGCCAGGGGAAGACTCCAATCTGGCCCACTGTACGTGAACTTTGAATTTTTAACTGTTTCTTGACAAGTTTTAAAGCTTTTCCTACTGATAATGACCTCCCCCATGAACATACATACTACACCCAAGTAATTAAGTTATTTTATTACTTTACACATTTACTTCTTACATGTGGACAGCTTTCTTTAATTTACTACAGCAGCATTTCTTTATCAAGTAGAAAACATGAAATGCACAGTTGTAATTGTGCTTCTTTTTCTTATATTTAAAAAATCGTATTGATTAAACGTAAGTTTCTCTAAAGAAACAGGAAGAGGAGTTTCACTGTGCTGACCCACTTAAGATCAAAGGGGCTGTGGACGTCAGAGAAAGTCAATATTTTAGCTTAGCTCAATGTGGGCTTGACTATTTGTTTACTATGATACAGCGTCTATTTTAAAAAAATAAAAGTCAACACTGACTTAATGAAAATAATAAAAATGATGACAATTTGACATTTCATTTAACTTCTCACATTTTTTAATATCAGAAATGGACTTCAATAGCTGCAATGGATAAATTCCATTATAGGCACATTATAATCTCCATGAATTCCCAGATTGGGTGTTGATATTGTTTTATTAGGAACATTAGGACAGAAATTCTGTGGCTTGCTGGGTGAGCAACTGAGGGAGCAGCAACAATGTCTGGTAGTATTCCTGCATGTACTGCTCACTGCCAGTGAATCAGGCCTTAATAAATCACGCACAGCCTCTTTCAACGCTGTGTTTGTTGGAAACTTGGCAAAGGACGCAGCACAGGCAGAGGGTCCCACTGTAGTTGGGACTATTTGGACAGAGACAGAAAAAACAGTATCATTTGAAGAGGGATTTCAGAAAGGCTCCATCCAACAAGATAAAAGAGTCTCACTAGATTTTGCTAAGATATTCTGAATAACCAGTCAGTCAGTCATCCATCCATGGACAAAAGTGGCACCGCTTGGAGAAACATGATTTCTCTTTTAACTTTCAAAATAAATTAAGGGGCCAAATGAAACAGCTCCATGTCTTGAGTAACACAGCCTCTGTGGCGCCCTTGTTTTGTGCTTATTGTCTCTATGAGTGTAAAGTCTAATATCTAAAGACATCACAGCAAAACATCTGAGCAACCTTCTCTACAAAACTTTGCCAGGTTTGAATTTAAATCAAACAAACGTCTCAGTTATATAATAAAGTAACTGAGCGTTTTAAATGAAAACCGTTTCCAAATGTGACAATCCAAAGCTGGAAACAAAGATTAAAACGAGCAACTAAGCACTATGAAGACCTCATACTGATGACATGTGTTCTTGTTTTGTAAGACCCACCGTCTACAATGTAGGTACATTTAGAAATAACAGACTCCATCTGGACACAGACTTCTAAATGCCACCTTTCTCATATTTGTCTGCACACGTGGTCTTTAGATGTTTGGTATTATCCATTTTTTTCTGATTTTTAATAAGGGTTGAATGGAGCTGGGTTTTTTTTGTTTTTTTTAGTCTAGCATATTTTCCTGCCTCATCCTGAATATTTTGGGATCACTTGATCCTTATTTTGCATTTCTGGCTTCCTGCGAGTGCCAGCGGACTCCTTTTGCCTGTAACAGTCCGGTCTGCAGGCAGGCTGCTGGGCTGAAGTCCTGCCTTTATTCCCGGAGACACGAACAAAGTGACGGTGTCAGTATTGACACTACAAGAAACACATTAAAGAGACTTAACGCCGTTGAAAGAAACGGCATTTATTGCGGCTTTATTACCGGTTTCCATAAGCGTTAAGTTACAGAAATAAAGTCAAGAAGAGCGGATGTTAAGCTGGGAAATTTCCAAATTAATACAGAACTTAACGAGAGCTCTTAACGAAGACTGTTTTTGTTTGTTTGTTTGTTTGTTTTTAGCAAATATTTCATCTGGAGCAGTCCTTGAAGTCCTGTTATTCTGCAGCTGGACAGCCTTTAGGCGTTTTTTTTAATTATTATCTAAATAAAATTCAATTCAATTTGTCACTGGGACATAAAAATGCCATACATCAACAAACAACTCCGATAAAACTCCTTTATAACGTCTACCGACTACATACGTTTTTTTTTTAAAGATTTGAATTCAGGATCTGTGATATTTAGCTAAATTTAGGTCATAATACACCTCACCATATGACTTAATTATTATATACTGCCTACTAAAGGGAAAAGAGTCCCCAACGAAAATGCTGATTACAGGACAGGAAGTTAATTCACTGTTTATCAGGAACATTTGTTTAAGTGATATCAGAGTTGTATTTCATTAATAATGCTTTATTATGACAGTTTACACGTTCAGCCTGTTGACGTTATCACGGTTCATTTACGGCCCTGCAGTGGTCACTATGGTAACTGGAGGAGGTTTCATTTCATTCACAGCAGCAGTTTAAAATGACTTGTGTGACTTTAAAATGACGAGTCGAGCGTATTTTATTTTGGCGAGTCAGGCCGGAGGTGGAAGCGCGTTTATGTGCGGCTGTCCTTCGCTCGTATTTCATCTGCGGGGAGAGAAGGCACTCTTCAGACTGGAGGAAGGAGGCTCTGGTGGAAACTCAAAGGACATGCGGCGTCTTTTGCAAACTTTTCTGCAAACCAGGCGTTCTCCGAGCTGAAGAAGAAGAAGAAGCCGAAGGGTGAGGAATGAACTGAAGAGGAAGAAGAAGGAGAGAGAAGAGGAGGGGGAAGAAGAGCCGTTCACTCCCATTGATCCTTGTATCGAGGTATTGATTCAGGCCTGGCTTTGAAATAACACAGCAGAGGTGAGGATAAGATGAACGATGCTGACTTGAGTTTTCTCGACCTGGATATACTCTGATACCAGACTTAATATAGTATTATTACAGTTTTATTATTATTATTATTATTTCTGATAAATACTGCATTTAAATATATACTAACTCCATCAAAGCAAAACTAGGTTATATAAGGTTAGTCAGAGCTTACTCTGCTTCTTTTCCCATGAGTACCTGTATCTCACCAGTAGTTGGAAACCAGTACTCTACAATCAAGCTGAGACAGCTGCTTTTCGTCAGCTTACATATAAAATCAACATTACATGGTCTTCTTGGCTTTCACGTTAATAAACATGTCGTAGATGATACAGATAAAACAGTCTGAGGTTACCCTTCCTCTTAAAGAGCGCTCGGTTACAGTTTGCGTTGAGAAAATAAAGATTAGAGAGTTTAAAAAGATCCTTTTTGAACCTTGTTACTATTTAATGTCATGGATAATTTAATATTGTTTAAACACTGGCAATTCGAGGAAGTATCAAAGAGCATTCGGGCCTTGTAAAGGTTATTTTACACATCTATTAACAAGTGACTCACTCATCAGATCAGTCAAGACTGACAGCGGTCCTCAGTGTGAGCCAGCAGAGAGACGCACTCACCAAGATAAAGTAAACAATGGGCTACACATCGGACAGTTGAAGAGAAACATGGCACACATAGTTCTAAAATATGTTTGAAACTCCATGAATGTGGTCAAGTATTTCACAATAAGCCATTTTCCAGCCAAGAAGGCGGGCTTGTTTAAAAAAAAGAAATTATTGTTCAAAGATGTTGGTCAGTTAGTCTTTTTACAGCTTTATAAGTTTATAATTAAATTGTCACCAGGTTACAAAATAACATTTTACCCACTGGTTCCCCCGTCTGCAGCTCAGACCTTCACTGACCCGCGTAAACAAGCTAGTTTTCGTGTCTGTATCATGTTTTTTCTGGCTCTGGTGGGAAGTTGAGGGTGTAAATATGCATGCAAACATCATTGGCCTGCATTTAATTAACAAAGTGACTCTATTTCACCTTACTTAAAACCAGTATGTGCATTTTCTTGCTGTGTTTCAGCATTCGGTGAGCAAAAATGTTTATGTTTATTAGCGGAAGGCCAAAACATTGTTTAGGTGAGCACCAAAAAGTTTTATATGCAGGGAAATCCTGTGTACTTTATATACCTTATGATCCATAATAGCATCACATACGTTATTACTCAATTTAGATTTAGATTTAAATCTGAAAATTCAACTTTATTTATACAGCACCAAATCACAACAACAGTCACCTCAAAGCACTTTATATTGTAAGGTAGACCCTGCAATAATACATACAGAGAAAACCCCAACAATCATATGACCCCCTCTATGAACAAGCACTTTGGCAACAGTGGGAAGGAAAAACTCCCTTTTAACAGGAAGAGACCTCCAGCAGAACCAGGCTCAGGGAGGGGCGGGGCCATCTGCTGCGACCGGTTGGGGTGAGAGAAGGAAAACAGGATACGTTTTTGATCAAATGTAGTGGAGTACTGTCTGCAGTTATTCATGCTGAGAGCATGGAGCAACATTTACATGAAATCTGCCGCATTTTAAGATCGTTCCAAATGAAACGAGCATCAGCTTTTCTGTCACGATGTAAAAGGTGGAAAGATGGTTTGTCTTAGTGGTGGTGGGATAAAACTAATCAAGGTTTAGATTGTGATTAAAGTACAGAGAGACTCACTCATTTGCTTGCTATCTTTCTTTTTGGCCGTAAATCTGACTCCTGATGCACATGCTGTGTTTCCCACGCTACAGAGAAATCTGTCTTTCTTTCACTAACATCACACCGCATAATGTGAAAACACTGACAGCAACAGAAGTTAGAAGTCAGTGAGGGTTCACTTTATTCAGATTGTTTTACGGGTGAAGGCGTGGGTGCGGTTTTGGAAACACCGTCAGCTGCTGACCAATCAACTTGCCTTACATAATCTCTGTTGTCTCTGGACCATCGGGGCATCAGTTAGGTTACTTCCTGAAAAAGCGGTTTAAACTGAAAGAGAGGAAGTTTACATGAACATGAAAATCTGGCTGCTCTGAGGAAATACAGCAGTGCAAACACAGGACTGTGATAGCCATGCATTTCAAGTATTAGAATTAATTCAGGCAGTTTTTCTTTGTGACCATCTGAGAAACACTAACCGGAGTTTGCTGGAAAGGTCTGATACGTGACATTAGAAAGCGTGTAACGTGCTCCAAGCATCGGTGCATTCCTAAGCGCGACCGTGATCATCCAGCTGTTATAACACCATATCCCCAGTGACAGAGGAGTTTATCCCCGTTTGACACTCCTAGGGTGTAAAATGTGAAATAAATCAGCAAATGATCAAAGAAAAGTAATAAAACCCTCTTCCAACACTTCCAAATGCCCTGTTTCTGCTCTCTCTTGGTTCCGGGTAATATTCTAATCGTTTTTCTTTATTTTTTTTATTCATGCTACTCAGTTCCAGAGATTGTAAATAGCTGAAAGCCCTCCGCGGAGTTTCAGCTCTCTGTCCACCAGATGGAAGTGTTTCAGATCACATTTGCAGCCAAGTTGGCAAGTCTGTCTCAAATGTGGTTTCGTGATCTACAGTCAGTCACCCCACTGATGGCAGGGTTGTGTGAATTTGTGCTGAGTCTAACATTTTTGAGCTACTCTTCCCTGGTGTTTTGTTCGTAGAAGTTGTGGCCATATTGTCATATTCTTGTTGTCGTTCTTTTCCGCAGAGCTCCTGCTGTAAGGATGCAGGCTGCCCCTGCTGCTGCAGCTGCGGCTCTGACTGCGCTGAGTGTTTTGCTCACCCTCGACTGCCTGTCGGCTCATCGGCCCCCGAACAACCAGATACAGCAGCAGACTGACGAGACGGCGCAGAAGAAGAAGAACCAGCCGCACATCGTATTCATCCTCACCGACGATCAGGTGTGTGTGAGAGTCGTGCGAGTGCGTTTTCTTGAATCAAAATGCTTGGACGGTGCCACTGAAACGAGGAAACACATCATAGTATTTACATAAATATATATTATTGAGGATAGAAATCAAATCATTCCCAAAACATTTACAACCATATGTGTGAAAGTAGCTGAAAAATCTGGTTTATAAGCAGTGAAATGAATTAAACAGCACGCATGAGAGCAGACTTAACGCCTCTCTGAGTATAACCTCTCTGATTTAAACCTGAATTTCAATTTGGCAAGTCCATCTCAAATGTGGTTTCACGTATCCACCGCATGAAAACAGATGTTACAGACAAGATATTCACAACTTTGGAATCAAGACCAGAACCCTGGATTTCAGGTTAGTCAGTCATAAGTTGTCGTTTTGAACTGGGGATTATTTTTAGTCGTGGACGCCGATAGCTGCAGGTACCACAGAGACACACTCCTGTTGTGCTTGTTTAAACTCAGTATGTTGCACCGCAGTGTCATTGAAGACTGTGTGTGGCTAGGTGCTCGCGTGAAGTCCTCCCAAAAAACCAACAAACAGTGAGGACACTATGCGTAAGTCAGATCGATTGAAAGTTTATACACGCATTAGAAGCACGCACAGTGGTCAGTTTTGATTGTTTCTACGTACTTGGTATGGTTCGACTTCTTCGTTTTCGCCACGCAGCAGCTCAGCTTAAGGATCAAGATTACCACACACAGAAGAAAGAGTAACCCACAGACCCGGTGACAGCTGCAGCCTTTTGGCAGTGACACATGAATCCACAGGTCCCGTCACGCTTACTTAAAACCAAGCAGATCCTCTCATAGAAAGTGTAAGACATACACGGGTCCAGCCTAAAAGTTACACAGCTTGACCTTCTTGACCTTCCCACGTGTGGGACTAATAAAGGTTATCTTATCTTATCTTATCTTCTACTTCCTACATAAAATACTACTCTTGACGAGCAGCTGATTTTGAGATGTCTCTGGAAAGGAGGTCTTTCCACTGTTTTTTATTAGCTTGTTTTGTTTTCAGTTTTTGTTTTCTGAGTGAAGGACCTCCATATTGGAGTAACTGTTTGTTCACTTCCTGTGATTTCTTGTTTAGATCACATTTAGACTGCTTAGCAACCAAATGTTTTGCTGCTGTCTGTACACCTCTGTTAATTTTCTCATTACACTGTTGGTGAAATTGACTTTTTGCTAGCTTAGCTTTGATTTTGCATAATTGCTGCAAATCAGAAATGCTACATTACCAAGACAGCGCAGGCTGCTAGGAAGCAAGCATCATGTCATCGGTGAGGCCAGGTGAAGTTAAGGCTACGCTTTTGCAGACTGGTCCTTACTAAGACCAACTTAACAGCTAGATCAAGTTTATTACAAACCATTTTATGTGCAGAGCTGTGCATAAGTCTTGAGCCGCACAAAATTTCTTTAAATGTTGGCACGAAAATGGGAAACAAATGCAGCAATTTATTGAAAGGTGCAAACATGGAAATGCAGCCTCAAATACAGTCTGTAAGGCAAAAACAGAGTTTCTACAAATCTGATGAGCTTGAAGTCAATATTTGACATCACCATCTTCATTCTTCAACACAGCCTGAGCTCTCTTAGGCAAGTAGTCTTCAAGAAAAGTGCTCCAGCCTTCTTCTTTGGATGTTGGCTGCCTTTGGCTCTGCAATCTGTCGAGGTTATCCCACATTGCTTCATTAAAGTTGAGGTCTGGGCTCTGGGGAGGCCAATCCATCACTGATAGTGTTGCATTGTGTATTGTGTAGACACCTGCTGTTCACATCTCTCCTGACCTGCTTCATACTGATGACAATTTGAAACTAAATTTTTAAATTCTGAATTCACTTCTTATTTTGTTCTCCACTTCTCATGTTACCTCGTTTTTTTTAAGGACACACTGCACACCATGGCGCGATGTCCCAAGTTTTTGGCTAATGGCGCTGTGAGAATGTCCTTGCTAACGAAATGGGAACAAATGATGTATTTTGGGACAGGCTATTAGAAAGAAAGTGCTTAAAGCTAAGCTATTTAAAACAGGTTGTTTTCTAAAGTGGTCTGTTATGTGCGGACACAACACTGGTTCATCCCTTGAGTTATGTGCTGTTTGTGATGGTTAAATGATTTATAGGTCATTGTTAAGTTTCTCAAGAAGCAGAAAGTATTGTTTCCTACAGTATTGTAACAGGACCCAGCATCTTAAAATGACTCACAAGCCTTAAAAACCAACCAGTGTGGGGCTGAGTAATGAAGCTTCTCTGGAACTGTTGCAACACTGTTTCCAGCTCACAAACAAAACTGTACCATAGAAAATACAGACAAAACAAACACAAGGAAAGGCAGGCGGCACACACCTGGACCCATTACTTCCTTACAGTATAGTATAGGAACCACTGAGTATCTATTTGGCAAATTAAAGTGACACTCTAAAACACAAAGTCTTTGATGCAATCATGAATCTGTTGCAGGGTTTCAATGATATCGGTTACCACAACCCGACCATCAAGACTCCCACTCTGGACAAACTGGCAGCAGAGGGCGTGAAATTGGAAAACTACTACGTTCAGCCGATCTGCACGCCGTCGCGCAGTCAGCTCATCACCGGCAGGTACAAACACACCTTTACCGACCTCCTACAGTAAATATCGGAAGTCTTTACATTAAATTTTGACAACATTTAGCCCAGTCTCTTAATAAACTGTCTCATGTACACCAATACATATTGTTTTCTCTTTGTTTCAGTATTTTAAAAAAACACTTAAAAAGATCATTATCTTATTATCAAAGCCGTCCGAATATTGACTCATTAATTAATTTATAGCATGTAACTGCTATAATTCATATCCTCTGGTCTTATTTGTCTGGATGTACTGTCAGATTGTTCCATTTTAATGGTAAGAGATTTACAACATTAAGCCATTACCACATTAAAAAGCGTTTGAAGTGCATCCACATTCTTTCCAGAACTTAAGCTACCCTGTTGATGGGTTAATTTGAAGCTTTGCTCTCGCGTCAGCGCTTTGAGTCTTGGCATTTTTTCCATTTTTCTTCCAGCTGTGCTTGTTGTGTCAGGTTTTCCTTTAGGATTTGTGCTCGGCAGTTATTAGCCAGCAGTTCTTATTTGTTGTGGGCAATACCTCCGCGTTTACACATTGTACTAATTGCATTTTCACCACATCTGTAGCTTGACATTTAGATTGAATGCTTTTTGATAGCACAATTCAATGAAATGCTCTTTGTACAGCACCAAATTACAACAAGAGTTGCCTTAAAATAAAACAGAGAAAATACCAACAATCATCTGACCCCTTTTCAGCAAGCGCTTTGGCGACAGTGGGAAGGAAAAACTCCCTTTTAACGGGAAGAAACGTCCAGTAGAGCCAATAATAAGCTTTCTTGAAGGCATCTGTTTTCTGTTGGATTTTGAAACTCCAACAAGCGGTTTTTCATTCACTGCCAATTGTTTTAATCCACACTCATATTAAGCCAGTTTTAAATCAACACATTAAATTGTGGGTCATTTATTTACAAGAATCTCATTTTTTAGGATACACTCTAAGCAGTTAAATTCACATGTTAGAGAAGCACAAGAATCACGTTAAAGAATTAGAGAGGGCTTTGAATGTGTGAAATGAGGAAGAAATGGCTGCATGTGAAGCTCCTGTTTCAAATGAGGTTTGAATAATGAGTTTATTGATTAGGCCCTGAGCTGCAGCCAGGATTAATAATGAGCTCCCCGCGTCTTCTCTGAGGCCAAACGGAAGCTCCTGCCTGAGCGGCTTGCCTGTTACAAACCCACTAACAGCTCTTTTTTTCTTTCTTCCAGATATCAGATCCACACGGGATTACAGCACTCCATTATCAGACCCAGACAGCCCAGCTGTCTGCCCTCGCACATGGACACTCTGCCTGAGAGGCTTCGCGAGGCCGGCTACGCCACACATATGGTTGGCAAGTGGCACCTGGGTTTCTACAGGTGAGAGGGAGCCTTCAGTATAACTTGGAGAAATATTGTTTGGTGAAAAGTCTGCTGACACAAAGATGGTGGAGAAACAGTGATGCAGTCATGATTCAGAAGCTGGACTACTTAACTTGAAGTAATCTTTTTCCGTATGACTTTATCAATTTTTCATATCATCGTGAAGGAATCTTGGCCCACTCTTCTTTACAGGAGTGCTTTGCTTTGCTGGTATTTGTTTATGTACCGCTGCCATGACAATGCCTTGGCATTTCTTTTGGATTGGGGTCTGGGCTTTGACTGCTGCCGTGCTTTTGATCGCTGTCCTTTTGTGTGACACAATTTGGGCCAAGCTTTAGCTGTCGAAGAAATGGCCTCACATCTGACTCCACAGTACTTTGGTATACAGAGGGGTTCGTGGTCAACTCAATGACTGCAAGCTGCTTAGGTCCTCTGAGCAACCCAAATCATCACCCCTCCAACACTATGGTTGACAGCTGATATGAGATGTTGGTGCTGATGTGCTGTGTTTGGTTTTACCAAATGTGATGCTCTGCAAAATGACCAGACATCTACACTTTGGTCTTGTCTGTCTAAACAACATTGTTCCAGAAGTCTTGTGGTTTGTTCAGATGCAGCTTTGCAAACCTAAGCAGTGCTGCCATGTTCCTTTTAGAGAGAAGAGGCCTTATCCTTCCACCCCAAACAAGCCATACTTTTTCAGTCTTTTTCTAATTGTACTCTCATTTACTTTGACATTTAACATGCTAACTGAGGCCTGTAGAGTCTAAGATGTAACTGTTGGGGTTTCTGCACCTTAAAGCGAATTTGCTGGGACTTATGGACCAATGGATTCTTATGGAAGCAGTAAGGGTTCACTTAGTTTTTCACACACTACTTCTGCAATTTGACTTTGTTTCTTGTAAGTAAATAATAACATGGTGTAGTATGTTATTATGTGGTGTTGTTCAGCTGACTTTGAATTTACCGGATTTTAAAAAGTGCTAAGGACAAGAAGATTTTTTAATTATGTCCACATTCTTAAAAACGTAAAAAGATACTCTGCTTTTTTTTTTCATGACTAGTTAAAATATGAGATGACGCAGGACGGTCTTTCTGTTTATCTCAGCTGTGACATACTGTGTTTTTAAAAAAGAGACCAGTCCCTGCCGGCCTTTCTGTCTCCACACACCTGGCTAAAGGTTTCAGGGCTTTGGTATGATGCATGCTGGCTCACAATTATGGTTTACTTGGACTCATCATAATAGTTTATGTAACTGTTGACTGCACCTGTGCTTTTCCTGCTGTGACAAGCAGAAGTATGTAGCATTATAAGTTATGGAAATTTGCAGGAGTTGTTGGACCAAATTTGGTCCACAGCTAGACCCCACAGTGGTCCTAAGCAGTGGGGGGTTATTTTTATTAGTCAGAACCTAAAACGGTTTAGTTAACCAATATATATTAATAGCTAACTATTGCTGTTAGCCATTTTACATGTATAAAGACCGCTCAGTAAAACCAATAATTTTTTAAAATTAAAAGTGTGTATGGTGATGCATTTTTTGAGTGACGCATTTTAAGAAATGATCAGTGTAGCGTGGAAACAGTACAAATCAATCATATACGTCTAAATATAACGCAGTGAGGCGCCTACAAGAAATGACCTGTCCAATAGAAATGTTCCACTGTTTAAAATGTTATCTGTGATATGTTTTTATAATCAGCCGGAAGAAGGCCACAGGCTGAAACTTGCCAGACAACACAATCGGTCTTTATTCTACAGTTCGCTGGAGCTTTAAACTCTCCTACAGTTGAACTGAGTTGGCATAGTGCTGAACACTCCCTACTGTGCTTATTCTGTACAACAGACAGCATGAAGAGAAAGAAACATGGCTATTCAAGCTAGAGAGCACTGAATGATCTAACTTACTGGAGTTAGTGGACGGATATCAAGTAAAAGGGAACAGCAGTTATCAGGTTCCTGACTTTTATCAAGACGTTTAAAGTCATCGGCCATCATTTGTGATCATTTCTTCTATAAAATGGTCCACATTGCTCAGCTGGTTGTTGGGGTGTCAGGCTTGTATTACAAACCCTCCAAACATCTGTAATCAGTAATCTTTTTTTCCTTTAGGAAAGCGTGTCTGCCCACCAGAAAAGGTTTTGACACTTTCTTTGGTTCGTTAACCGGAAGTGTGGACTACTACAGGTAAATCACAACTACTATTATTACCTGTTTTCATGATTGCTCTCTGTCTTTTTACTGTGTTTACTCCAGTAACTCACATTTCTACATCTGCGTCTAGTTATGAATCGTGTGACGGCAAGGACTTGTGTGGCTACGATCTCCATGACGATGAGGGCGTAGCGTGGGGCCACGAGGGGAAATACTCGACCACGCTCTTCACACAGAGAGCTCGCAAGATCCTGGAGAGTCACGACCCTGCAGAGAGGCCGCTCTTCCTGCTGCTGTCCTTCCAGGTACGGCGCTGAGGTCGTTACATTAAACATCTGTAGAAGATGGGTTACGTTAAAGCCAATCAAAAAGTTTAAAAAAAAGGGGTGTAGGGGGGATCAGAGGGGCCAGTGTTCACAACAGGATGTGTTTGCATGTCATGTTTGTTTATGTCTGAGTGTGAGCGCTCAGAGAGTGCACAGTCCACATTGAAGTGTTTGTTTGTTTGGCTTTTTTGAGACAGTTTGTTCAAACAGACTCAAAGGTTTTAATTCAAAACACGCCGCCCAGATGTTTGTTGTTTACGGCTGATTTTGGATGGTTGATAGAATTTAAAAACATGTAATAATATCCTGTAACGTTTCCCTTCAGGCGGTCCACACTCCTCTAAATCCTCCAGAGTCCTACATCTACCCCTTCCGGGACATGGTCAACGTCCCCAGGAGAAACTTCGCCGGCATGGTTTCCACGGTGGACGAAGCGGTCCGAAACGTGACCTACGCCCTCAGAAAGTACGGATACTACCGAAACAGCGTCATCATCTACTCCACCGACAACGGCGCTCAGCCTTTCACAGGCGGGAACAACTGGCCGCTGCGGGGTCGTAAGGTAAAATAACTGCACGGCGTCTAAGCATAGGCTTCATAAAAAGTCCACATAGTCATAATGACGTCTCTCACTGCTTTGTGAACTGCTGTTCTGAATGTGAGAGTGACAGAAAATAAGGCACAGTCAGTAATGCCTTTTTTAGCTGGAGAAGACACCCCCTGGTGGCCATTAAAACCAGTGCAAGTTTAAGGTTATGGACAATCAGGATCTTGCAGTCATCTTTTATATACAGTCTGTGACCAATTAGGAAATTGCCCTCATAAGATTTTTATTTCGAGATGAGTCTGACAAGCTTAATATGGGATGTAATGAAAGAGCTACAGTCCAGAAGATTGGTTTTAAATGAAGAAACACAATAAATGTCCTTTTATCAGCTTTGTGATAATATTATTACGGCTGTAGTCTGGTTAAATCATTTCATTTAATACCTACATTATAAATGTAGAACCACTTGCAGGTGTAGGGGGCGTGAACAACATCGATCTCTTCCTTACTCTGCGGTGTCCTGCAGGGACACATTGACTTATGCCATTCGTGTGGATTGACATGCAGCAGCGTCCTAAGCAGACTAGGGTTGGATGATCTGCTCCAACTGTCCACTTGTCCCCCTGTGTGAGCGCCAGTAACAAATGACTTCATCGCTGCTGCAAAGCATTAATGTCCCACAATCCACCCTTGGTAATGCACACCATGTGGTTACACATGACTGTCTAAAATGTATCTACAGTAGGCACAGTTGGCAAATCCAGGTTGGAAAATCACCAGGACTGATTTTTAAGGAATCTTTTATAAGTGGGGTTTATTTCACTCAACCTTAAAATAAATATTTTGTTTAACAAATGGGTAAAAATGACAATAACATACACAAACTTCTTTTAAATCAGAGAGCAGACTCCTTTTCTTAACTGTATGAGGATCAGCCGTGACCTATTTTGAGCCAGCTAAAACCCCAAAACACGTGCCTGGCTCTACTTTAGTCCTGTTGTTCTGCTAACCCATTCAGTCTTTTTTATATATGTAAAAATGGTGCTAAAGAAAGCTGCGCAGGGGTGGGTTGAGGAACACAACAAAGAGCTGAACTCTTTGCTAGGCCCTTAAAATTCTGCAGATGCCAAATGTGAAATGTAGGATGTGCAGGAACAAGACCGATGTGCAGACGACTCACAACCGAAGTATCCAGAGGCCTTTCACACGTCTGCAGTAGTTTTACAGATAACATATAAAAATCTCAGCTAACCAAAATGAAAGAGAGCAGAATGAAATTAAATGTGCTGGCTGTGTTTCAGGGTACATATTGGGAGGGTGGAGTCCGCGGCGTGGGGTTCGTGCACAGCCCTCTGCTCAGGCGCAGGAGACGAGTCTCTAAAGCTCTCATGCACATCACAGACTGGTTCCCTACACTGGTGGGCCTGGCCGGAGGAAACATCAGCCAGGTCAGTGGGCCTGTGTCAGAACAATAACCTGTGGGAGCCGTTTGCTTGTACTTTCTCGCACTTGTCTCTGATGTTTCTTCTTAGACAGTAAATATGGGAGGATAAAAGTTAAGCAGCATGGAAAAATGACTCTCTCCCAGTGTGTTACTGACCATTTTATTGTGCTATAAAACAGAGAGAGATACCGATACGAGCTCTTCTGTTACTGTAAACTCACCCCGTTCAGGATCTGTATGTTTTTCCAGTCGTCTTGCCAAAGAGCTCAATCTCTGGTCCCTCAGCTCGCTTACTGTCTCCCCCTAATTTCAGATTAAGTTTATTCGTTGTCATTATTAGAGATGAAAGTAGAGCTCTGCCTATATTCATCTCTGTGTTGGCCTCAGACTGAACAGTGCTACTGTAAAGCCGTCCCTACTTTTACTGTCATCTGGATAAATCAGCCGGACCTATTATGATAAGTGCAGCATTTCCAAACACTGGCCTCAAACATGCTTTGTGTTTTTGTTCGGATATAAATTACTTTCATTTCTAAGTCCGTGCAGTCTGTGTATAGTGTCCAAAAAGCTTTGTTGGCTTGATCTGTGGATAGATTTGCATTGCTGCCAGCAGATAAGCAATGCTTTCTTGGCTACAGGAAACGTAGTAATTCAAAAAGTCAGTGGCGTCTTTTACAAGGAAATTACTTATTCTTTATTTGTGTCCAGTAAATGTATGAGTCTTGCTTCTGGTATTTTTAGCAGCATACCCGTCATTACCCTGCTCTGTAATCTCTTACTGTAAATGAAGTGTTTGCCTTCCGTTCAGAGCCAGGGCCTGGATGGTTTTGATGTTTGGCCCGCCATCAGTGAAGGGAGGGAGTCGCCCCGTAAGGAGATCCTTCACAACATCGACCCTCTGCACAAATCTCCAATTGAAAAGAAGAACCAGGACGAGGAAAACTGGGGTAACTACAGGGGCAAAAAAAAGTCCATAAAGGACTTTTTTTAATGAGGTGTGAACAAAAAGGTCCAGGAATGGGCACGTAGGAATCGCAAGACTTCCTCATATAAATTTGGCTGGTTTCCAGTTTGAGGTCCTCTTCTCAGGAATTTCCTGACAGCTTTTTTCACAACTGCTAATTTTAGATCGCTCCCTGAAAGTCTGACTACTTTAACTGGGATTTTACCTCAGACCTCAAACTCAACTCAAAAAAAGACCAAACAGTAATTTTTTGTTTCAAACTAATCAAGATTGATGAGATCTGGATCTACAGCTACAGCTGAGCAGTTTTCAGCTGAAACCTCTAAAGTTTCCAAGCCGGAAACATCCCAAAGTAACGTCAGGTGAAGAGGCCAGGATCAGGCTCTTCTTTTTTCAAGAATCCATTTCCCAGTGTGGACTTCTGCTGTAACGCCCTGATTCATTTAAG